CTTTTGTGCTCTAATGAAAAGTTTTCCTTGAGCAAATTCACTATGTAATCTACTTACCTCTAACCTTAATCTAATGCTATTCTAACGTAAATAGACTTTAAAGGATTCTGGGAGATATATCTCCCGCGAGAGATGCCTATAATTTCCCATAAAAATATTACAAAAATTATGCAGAATTAATAAAAATACTACAGAAATTGTGCCCTGCCAAATTACGGTAAATGCTTTATTTGCACAAAAACAATTATGCAGATTGATGAAATATTACGTCGCGTGATCAACCAATAAAAAATGCTATTACATTATGATTGGTGCTCGTGATATGCAGCATAGAAGCCTGCACGCAGCGTTGACAATTTTTGCGGCCAACTAATTTTTTTTAGACCGGCCAACTGGCTAATAGCCAATGACAAATAGCTAAACTTCGGCCTATAATTTGTAATTTACATAATATTAACCAATCATATTACTAGTTTGCTATATAAAGTTTTGGCCAATTCGACCAAATAAATTTACTTTGAAAATTTGACTAGTAGCCAATGGTCGGCCAAAGAGCTATGTGACAACACTGCCTGCATGGACCGGGCCGAAATAAGAAAATTTTAAAAACCACATAAAATTGCGGGCCGAACTTTTAAACAAACATAACGTGGCGAAAATTTTGAAGGGAATGTTGTGATTATTAAAATTAAGTGATATACGTAATGATTTATAAATAATTTATAAAGATTATGCGGCTTCATTATCAGTTTCATAAACAATTTACAGCTAAGAAAACCAATTGACAATGAGGATTTATGATTATTATGCGGTTTCATAAACGGTTTCATAAGCGATTCATAAGCGGATTATAGCTAAGGCTAACAATTTGACCAATCAAATATACTATACAATTCAATTTTATGCAATATGTATCAATTCTATTTTACTGGAGATCATGCAATATCACAAACGGATTAAATTTTATGAAATATTGTCATTAATTTTTAATAATCACCAAAATCAAAAAAATCCGCCCATACGACAAATTTTATTTTGCGGGCCGTGCGGGTCGGCAAAAGTACGCACAAATTTTAGGCCCGTGCAGACCTCTAATGCAGCATAGTTACACTAATATACTAGGTCGTGGACTGTATGTAAGACCTTACTTAAAAAATTTCGCTAGAAAAATATCGCAGTTAAATTAAGGTTAGATTTTGCTATAAAGTTAGGTTAAAGAAAGTTTTCCTGTTATCAAAATTTCGCAAGGAAAACTTTTTGTTAATGCGCAGAAAGTAGTTTCATAGGTAAAATGTTGAGTTATGAACGATTTTTTGGTTTGTTTTGATTTTTTGCGTTTTTTCGTGTTACACCGGATCTTGAATTCTAGGGTGGTGATGCTTAGGGGGGTTGACAGTATGAATATACAATAACGATCGCTAAATGGCCCCTCATCAGAGCACAAAATTCTACTATAAAATACCGGAGCTCCGGTAAATCAAGAAAAATTCTGGCACAATTTTTTGATAATCGGAAATTTTGCGTTTGGTCAAAATTTTAACACATTCTTACATCATGACTAATTGTTACTATCGTTACAACCTCCGGCTATAGATTCTAAATTCCGTTTAAAAAAAAGATCACCGGAACAATATTAGAACACGTCATGCCACAATTTTGTGCACTGCCCCTCATCCATGCATTCAAAGAGGTCTGACTCTATATTGGAATGGACTAGGAAAACGCCGTCTGATACTTGCTAGTCCATTCCCAAGTGCCGTCGTGGAAAACATGTTCATTGCTTACATTACGGCTAATTTTGATTGTGATCTAAATGATTACTTATAATTCTGGTCAAATTTGCAGATCATTTGGCCAAGTTCAGAGTTTTTTGATCCCTAATTTGGGCAATTTGACCAGAATTATAAGTAATCATTTAGATCACAATCAAAATTAGCCGTAATGATTTATAAAAAAAATATAAGAAATCCGATTTTATTTTTTTATAGGAAGTACGGAACGAAATATAAATGAATGCCCGATGACGATTATGATAAATGGCTTTTCTATACGTATATCTGGTTGCTTGTTAATTCATGCGATTTGATTTATTCTCTGTAGTGCCCAGTTTATGTGATATGAAACGCGTTTTTGTGTGATGTGATAAATTCATTTGTGCGATATTTATGCGAGGAACCGTATACAGATTAATCTATATGAGTGCAGTCAGGAGAAACCATATAAAGAATCAACGAAAAAGTTATTTTTAACACTCTTTCCCCCTTCGACACAATAGTTTTAGACAAACAAGATTTCACCTAACTCCCTGCCACACATGACAGGCTCTCGATGTTGCCATTTCTTCTATTAACAGCCGGCCTGCTTCAAGCAGGCGGCTGATGCTACTTCTCTCTCGTTCTACTGTTATGATGATACCCGACGCAATCTCACTTGCTAATTTTCTGAGTGCATATCATCGTTTCAGTTCGATTTACCTAGCTAAAATTGTCCGCAATGTATTTTTGCACCTATACTTTTCGACTTATTTGCATTAATTTTTAAATTGAAATAACTAAGATTAATATAAAGATATACTAATTATAGAACAAGTTCACATTGTGTAATGAAAATAAACACTAATAAAGTATAGTGTGGAAAAAACATGATCTTTGGACGTGACAATCCAAGGATGAAACAAGTGAAAATAAGGCTATTAACATTGAATGAAATGGTTTTAACTTAGAACTGCTTGGTATGAATGTATGATTGTTTGATAGACTAATTGATATGAATAAACTGGAGAAATGAATGTGTCGAGTATAGTATTACAAAAGGATTGAATTCGGACTCTGATCCTATCCAAACCGTAAAATCGGTTTGGGCCAAAAAATTCGGATTGAGCCCGGAAAATTTTTACCAACCGGATCATTACAACCACCAATCGGGTTGAATGAAATTTCGGGCCGCTCCATGATGTCGTATCTGATGGTTCACAAGCTGCAACAATAATTTGCTTGCAAATATATTAACTTTATATGTCGACATAGTAATATTAGTTATATGATAAAGACAATAAATGTATGTTTCATGCGTCTACCCCTATGTATAAAATTATTACGGATCAGTAACGATCTGATTAAATCGTACTAAACTCTTATATATACCTAAATTGGATAAAAAGCACTGGTTAACATTAATTGTGTAATCTCATTATGCTGGATCAAAAGCGCGTTTATATATAAATATGCGTATGCTGCCTGGTCTTGGATGTACTCTTGATAAAAAAATTATATTGATATATATTGTATGTTAACATTTTATCATTTTAGTAAAAATGAATACGTATTTAACGGAACAATTTTCCGCCAATTCTTTTCATCCAACACCTGTCGCATTCAAACAAGCTGATGATGAAGTAAGTGACGGTTGGTTTTTTCGGCTGCCCGAGTATGGTCACGTGATAACCAATAGCGAGATGGTGAGCCGCATAGTGCAATATTACGAGGTACGTACGTATGTATGTAAAAATTTGACTCTTGAGTGAACAAGATAAATTTATATTCATATATCCTTTTTTTAATTTGTATAGATGTTCGCTGTCAATGTGTTTCTTTTAGGGTACAATGTTCTTAAAAATGCCAAAGCCGGTGTTTCAACCTCTACCTATAAGATCGTGTTGTTTGATGCATGCACGGATCGTTTTATTATAGAACAATTTGATTTTTGCGCTGCTTCTAGATTAGTATGGGGATTAATTGGTGGCGCGATTGTCTATTTTATATTTACATCCCTTGTGGCAGTTGCTTTGTACTTCGAGCTTCGAAGAAAAGGATACTATGCTTTATTCACAGCATTATGGCATTCACCAATGTTTTTGGTATGTTATTTTTACCCACCGGATAAGAGAGTTGACATCTTAAGTATACCAAATAAATATGTCGGATTAAGTTTGTGGACGAGGTCACAAATACATCGAATTTCTTTGGCGTTATATTGTTTAATATGTACAGCTTTAGTATTTAATTCTTTAATTCATGGGTATGTCGAATCTTAAGTTTGTAAATTTTCTTTTTTTTTTTACAAACGTTTATCTCATTAATATCATTTGCTATTTTTAGTACTGCGGAAAGTTCTAAAATTGAGGGCGAAGGACTTGATACAGGGTATAAAAAATGTATATTTCACGTTTAATCATTGTTGCTAATCAAAATGAAGTCAGATTAAAATAAAATTTATGGCCTCTTTTAAGACCTATTAATAATCCTAGCTCTAAATCATAATTAAGACTTAAAGAGTGCATCCTCAAAAAAATTTTATCAAACACGTAATTTTCTAATTGAAATGAGGAAAATTTTTATTTTAATCTGCCACTATTTTTACTGGGTTTATATTAACTATATTAATTTGTTACATTCAATTTATCGTTCTAGTTTACAACCCGTATTTAATTCCATATTATCTTGCTCTTTACATTTTTGTAAAGACTTTATCAGAAATGCTTATTACTATAATTCAAGACAAGGATTGTAGAAATAGACCAGAAAGAATAGGAAGATATTATTTGTCTATTAAAAAATATTAATAATTTATTAAATTTTTATAGAATATTATTTTTACTATATAATATAGTAATAAATAAACAAAATAGAAATCAAGTTTTAAAAACTAATAAAATAATTGTAAATATATTAAAAGAATATTGTTATTTCTACTGTAGTTATATAAAAATTTTTATTTTGATATTTAATATTATATTAATTTTGATCAATAATATAAAAAGGACATTTTTAACTTGCACCAGTGGTTATGAATAACTAGGGTGCTATATCTCCAAAATAGGGTTGTTAACGGCTTCTTTGAGATCGACTCTAGCTGCATAATGGAACTGAGCCGATCCAAGCTGTAGCTTGAATCGTAATCAAGTTATAGCTTAGAGTTATAGCTTGAGCTGTGGCTTGAGCCATGACTCATAATTATTATGTGATTAATACACGTTTCTAGTTATTAAAACTACGGCTTGAGCCATAGCTACGAAAGCTACTGTTTGAGCTATGGCTCAAGTTACGGCTCAAACCACAGTCCCAATAGTCATAGCTCAAGCTGGAGCCATGACTTTAGGAGCCAAGCCAAGTCATCTAAGCCGATAACAGCCTACTCCAAAACTGCACTAGAAAACAGGTCAGATTTACTAAGTAAAAATATTCGGAGACCCAAAATCTTGTGTAATACTAAATTCGGCCCTGACTCTACACTAATTTTTGCGTAACTATTCTACCCTTAAATCTTAGTAAAAAATCTTTTTTTAAAAAACATTAAGATCTAATAGAATGGTTAATACTAACTATACATGCTGACGAAATTATTTTAGGTTTTGGGATACGAAATTAAAATTTAAAGATGAAATTGTTTTAACCTATTTTTACTTAAAAGATGAAATTTTTTGGCACTTTTTTTGAAGAGATGAAATTATAAAAAGCATAACTAATTAAATTAGATTTGCTCTTGCATATAAAAAATTCTAAATTGTTTTAATAGAGATGAAATAGGGTTTTTTGAAAACCTATTTCAGTGGTATATATAATACTAATCAATAATAGTGCAAGTTATAATAATTTAAAATATTTTTTTTTAATTTTAAGGTGATCACTTAGGGGTCTAGCACATTTTATTAATTTTGGTTTGAATGCCAGAGTAGTATACATGGGTCATCTTCGACTTTGTTACATTAATAAGGATATATTCTAGTCATACCTGCACTTTTTGAGCATTTAATTTAAGTAGTTTCCTATTACTAGGTTCTACACTAAATGTCATATCTATAACTTACTATTATTTAGGCTACCCAATTAAACCCTCTGATCAGCTTAGCATTATTGACAAATTTCTCTTCAAAGAGGAATTGTTGTATAAGCCTCTTAGGACTTTAAAGTGGATACATACTACCATATAGGAGGATTCTTTATTTTCATGATAAACCTACTAGAACAGTTTATATCCTATACATATATTACCTAGATTTTCAGTAACTTACACCTTGATCACAGCCAAATACTTGCAGTATTTTATTTCTGCTACTGTCACTTACTCCATACCTTTGCAAGGTTCACCCAAATCCCAGCACCCACTTTATAGACTATTAACAATACTTCAATACTAATCATCAGTATCCAAACTTCTAATTCAGATGGCCTAAAAGAAACCAGTAGACATCTTCTAGTATTTTAAATGAATTTTTTTTTTCCATTTTCAAGTGGCCTGGTTGGTATAGTGCTTATCAAACACTCAATCCTTATTCAGTTTGCCTTTGGTGTTTAGTTTCTCAGATGATAATCTTTTATATAGTTCTGTCAAAGATCTGTGCTATCTCTCTACTCAGAACTTCCTAAGCAAGCTTCTGTATTCCTGATCCCTTGGATTAATTTGATTGCTTCACTCAGGATTTGTGTAACTCATGCATTACACTATTGCTCTACAACCTCTCAGTACCTGTTATAACCAAGATTACAGATGCTGACCTGATCAATAAAAAGTTGATAAATGTTAATAAACTTGTAGGCTTCAAGCAAGTCAGCAATAATGGTTAATATTTGTAAAATAAATATGATTATATTTTCATATATAACAAAATGATAAATATATTATACAGTCTGCCATAATACATTTCGCAAATTTAAATTTTATTGCCAATAGAATTTGAACTTTTGTCTTGCTGCTTGGAGGTGCAACAACTTATTAACTTTACTAAGTTGCCATACCCTATTATAATAATTCATATAAAAATCAAGTTTTTATTAAATTAGAGTTTATTAAGTTTCTAAATAAAGTTGTAAAAAATATTTTCTAGTTTTAATAATAATAAATAAACTAAATTTATTAGATAGATTTGTTTTATTTTTATTAACTTATTTTATTTTATAAAAAACAACCAAAAAAAAAATATAACTCTTTTCGACAATCTTTTGATCAACAACAAAATAGTTAAACTACAGTAAATAATATAAAAAAGAAACTAAATAAATATAAAGAATATAACAAAAATCAGGTGATTTTTTCAAGAAAGAGAAGAGGTAAAAAATTTAAAATTATATATAAAGATCTGATCAAAATATATATAAGAGAGAGAGGAGAGATAAGCTTCTGATAAAAAAAAATCAGATAATAAATGACACTGCCTAACAATATTCTTGGTTTTGCAGAAGCAAACTTGTTGTTGATGAAGCCTATAATACGTAAAATACTGAGAGGCAGATATATAAGAATATTAGACAAGTTTGTGCCTTAGGTCAAGTGTTTTTCTTTAGCAGACTCCCTAGCATGTTTGATATCTAAACTAGAAGGTTTATTCTAGAAACAAGTAGAGCAAAAGTCTCTAAGCAAGAATATCAAGTAGATACTAGGAACTGAACTATACAATTATAAAACTTATAAAAAGAACCTCATATATTCTTATTAACTTTCCACTTTTTTTTAAGGAAAATTTTGTAAAAAAAGTGAATGATTTAATTTACTCACTCCAAAAGATCAATATATTGTTTACTTACCAAATTGGTCAGCATTGTTTACTTTTTACTTGTCACAACAAACATGTAAATAAATATAGAACTAAATATATAGAAAATGTATCTCAAAAGTGGTGATCTGGACAAATAATACTCTGAGACCAACAATACAAATTTCAGACCTCTCTATAGTGCTGATGTCAAAGAAGCTATTTTTTTTATCTTGTTGCAAGGTTTTTTTCTTACCTTAAATATGCTATATATATATTAGAATAGAGACTAGTTTAAATAGTAGTATGTAATTTTTATGAAGCTCAATACTGACTTATAATTGTGACTATCTAGTGTGGGTGAAAAATTCTGTATTTAGTTTAGTTTTTTATTTTTCGCTTTCCTTCTTTTTTTGTTTGTATTTTTTTAATATTATTATCTATACCTTTGTGTTGTTTTAAAAATTTTTTCTTTTTCTTTCACTTTTTTACAAAAAGATGCTATCAGATTGGCAGTATCCTATTGTAGGGCGGTGGTTCAAACAAGCCTTCCAGTTAGAGTATTATTTTAATTGATCATATCTCGCCAGTATGGCAAGTTGTTTATAGGTGCTCAGGTAGCTTTTGGTTATGTTGCAGTAGCTGCAGAATATCAGAGCTGTAGTTTTATTGTTTTAAATCTTCTATGAAATAATGGCTTGAATTAACAAAGTTACTGGCATGATCTTGTCTAAGTAAAAAAAAAAATTCTATTTTATATTAAAAAATTTTGAGTTGCAGATTATTTTTAGTCTAATTTTAGAGGCTAGTATAATTAGTAAATTAATTTTTATTTATTATTATATTTTTAGTTTTTTTATATTTATTTAATAATTTTTATTTAATCCTTTTATATATTATTTATTTTATATTTTTTTTAACAGATATTTACTATTTTAAGCTTTTTTTAAATTTTTATTTATTTTTTTATTTATTTGATATTTTTATTGAGAGTGTAGTGAC